GACCGGAGAGTTGTTGGGCCATGTGTGTTAAGACGTCAACCTGATTTTTTTAATCAAGTTTGCTTATTATTCTAATTTTTAATAGACATGATATATTATTGAAATTACCGGATTCGCGACTATCAACAAGATAAGATTCTGATTAAAAGGTTTCATGGCTTGAATCACATTTTTCAAAATAGCATAATTTCTTTCAATTAACTAAATACGAAATAACAATTAAGTTAGTTATTCCTCTCGAATAATAATAATAATAATAATAATCATCATCATCATCATCATCATCATCATCATCATCATCATTATCATTATCATAATACAAATTAAAGTACAATACCTCAACTCTTGTCTCATTCGGATGCTGTTTCGCCCCCGCAGTAATAACCACAATGTCACATTGCCCCGCCTCTTGATAAGTGCCCACCCGAATCTGCGTACTCGCCACAAAAGTCGCATCACTCAGGTCTTTTACTTGTCCTGTGACGACGTCCTGGTTAATGTCCACCAACAAAATCTCCGATGAAATTTTCTGTAGTAGAATAGCGAAGGCAATCGTTGCGCCTACTGAACCGGCACCAATAATTGCGACGCGAGAACTTTTAGACATAATGTTGAATTTTTGTTCTGGTTTAAATGGTTTATGTATGTAAAGAAATTCGCAGGGGTTTTGGTGGGTTTTTTAGCAATCAGATCGATAGAGAGCGTTTGTGGTGTTAAATAGCATGGGAAAATTGTCATAAACGCGTAGACACATCATCGAATCACTTGCATAACTGTCTAATCTTAATTTTAACGCTAACCTATGTGCGTGGCATGATAACTTTGAGAACGCGTTGCAATTCTCACGCCACTTCATTTTTATTTATACATTAAAATGAATTGATATAAGTTAAATCAGCTGATTTAGTGGAAATATGTAAATCATTCATGCACAATTTTAATATCGATATGCATAATGTGTTGTGCGACGCAATCGCAAGAATTCAGCCCAACCAATATTACACTATTACACACAAAAAAATTGAAGAACAAATAATTATTTGGGGGACGAAACTGTTCAAGACTGCGAAGTAAATCCAGCAGTCTCATGATATTTAACATCCGTATTATTATTGTTATTATTATTAGATACTCTTTGATGCTGTTGTTGCGGTCGATGATGAAACATATCGGAGTCATTGAGACTTTTTGACGATGATGTATGCCGAGTTGATGTGTTGTCGTTGTTGTTGTGAATATCATCATTTATGTTATGAAGTGACAAGAGATTAATTTGTGTATCAATAGCTTCAAGAAAATCTTGTTCCCAATAACCCATCTCGTAATCCACTAATCCGTATCTTTCTAATACGTCTGCCCAAGATACAACAGATTCACGGAGTTTATACAGGTACTCTTTTCCGATACGCTGTGGTAGTGACTGCTGTTGCTGCTCTTGAGATTGTTGTTGATGATGTTTCGAATGATTTTTATTCACCTGTGATATTGCATATAACCAGCAATCATTCAATGTTTTCCAGAATGTCTCTCGATCGTTTGAAAAATTTTCATCCGATGTTAATCCTTTTGTTTTTTATTTGGAATGAGATTGATTCTGTTAAGAAACAGTTAATTCAATAATAGAAGACGTTAACAAATACCGACCATATTTTTCACAATTGGTCACCACATTAGCTGTGATATTGGAGAGCAAATTAAATGCATCAAACATTTCATCACGCTTGACTAATTCAATCACGCGCTTAAAGCCCTCTTTCACTTCCTCGAATGAAGATAAGGGTGGTTGCTGCTGCTGTGGTGGTGGCGAATGTGGTAATGATTTTCGATGATCCATTTGTGTAGCGGCGAGTGAAGGTAACGAAGGAGAAGCGGAAGAGGAGGCTGAAGGGGTGTACTGCAGAATTGATCGAGCGTTAAAAGACGGTGACGGAGTCAATGACAAATTCGATGTAGGATGACTCAATTGTTGTGGTTCTTGACGTGATAATAATGATTGTGGTCTAGAAAACGCGTTTGATTCATGATTGGGATTTTTTTCTTGGATATTATTTGATGAAATTAAAGATTTATTATCATCAATATTATCTATTGTTGCTGCATTGTGACTACCGATGCTACCTTTTTTGGGTGTTTGAGCTGGTAACGATTCATTTACGTCCTTAGCATAATGGATTTGTTCATTTTCAGCTAGGTTTCTTTTACTGTTGTTATCAATATTAGTCTCAAGCCTGTCATCAGCTGCAGTTTCAGGAGTAGAAGTAATTGTCGAACTTGTTGTTGGTGTTGTGATAGAAGTATGCTGACTAGAACTGACGGGGGTCTGAAAAGGATTTTGGGTCATGTTAGTTTAGTTTAGTTTCTAGCTTTTCTGGTTATTTGATAATCGTGTTTTCTTCTTTGGTCGATATGACATGCATGCAATAAATTTGATTATGTCATATTATGTATTTTGTATTCTGTGGAGTTCCAATTGGCGGATCTTACAACATATACCGATACATGACGATAGGGGAGTGTGTGCTAAAAACATCTCTATTTCACGCGTGTAAAAAAACGCGTCTATTAATTCACCAAAATCCTTGAACTAATTAATAATGGGATACTTTTGAATCGATGTGCTAAAAACCAGAGGATATTACGTTTTTCTAAACGAGAGGACAAGAAATTTAAATTTACATTCTTTTACCGAGGGACAAATTAATACAAAAGATAATAATAAAACAAGTAAAATAATGATAATAATCATAAACACAAACTAACTACTATTACCACTACTAAATCAGAATTTAAATATATATAATGACAACGAGGATGATAACCTTATTTACTATTTCAAATCTCTCGGATGCTTATTAATCGATCCTTCCTTCAACCTTTCAATCGGCCAGTCAGTCAATCAATGACAAGTGGTGGTGAACTTTCACTATTGAAGGATGCTTTTCCGATTGCAACTGTTTGATATTTTTCACAATCATCCAGTATTCTCTCTTCACGATCTTTATTATGATTATTATCATTAATGTTATCATGTGACCCCCCTCCTCCTCCTCCTCCGACAATTGACGATGACGGATCACGTTTAACTAAACGCTCATAGGCCTCGCTTAATTGCTGTTCTAATTGTCTGACTCGCGCATCTTTCTCGAGACTTTTCTCACGTAATGACGCTTTCTCGCTTTCTAATACTGCAACCCGAGTTTGTAATCGGGAATTTTCGGATTTTAATTCAGAAATTTCTTGCTCAAGTGCTTCCATTCGTTGGGCTTTCCGCAACCGGGATCTGCGTGCAGCTTCTGTATTTTTCATGCGTTTTATCGCGATCTCATCTTCAATCGACATTGGCATCGAATCTTCGGAAATTGTGGTGGAAGAGCGTTTTCGTCCACGATTGCTGGTAGTGGTGGTGCCGTTAAAACCATTAAGGTTATTGTTGTTTTTGTTACTATTCTGGTGATGATTATTATTATTTTTGTGATTAATGACCATGTGCATATGATTCGCTGCAGACCCAACATTTTGAACTGTGATAATTGATTCATTGGGCACCGAACTTGTGGCTATAATTGACGCGGTAGACGCTTCTAATGCGACTGGCGAAGTAGCAATAAAAGAAAGTGCCAGTTTTGATGAATTTAATGCCGTTGGATTCATGGATGGTTGATGTTGTCCATTGATAGTCGTAGAGGTCTGGTTAGTGATTGCTTTATCGCCATTGTTTGTAGTGGCATTATCGGTGAAATCTGACATAGGTGGTGGACTATTGATTGTTTTAAACATTATCGGTGCGGGGGTCGAAGCGGTATGATTTGTCGACATTGGCAAAGTACGTCCTGATGAGGAAGAGGCGGAATTTGTATTACTATTACTACTCTCAGATAGATTTTGGTGACTAGTACCAGAATGAGGTGAATTCGCCGTTGTCATTGCTGCAATTGCGGCAAGTGCAGCAAGGTTTGACGAGGTATCATTCGGACTATTACTATTACTACTATTACTATTATCAAGAGCTGCCGCTGCCGCTGCTACTACTGCCGCCGCCGCTGCCGCTGCTGCTGCTGCTGTCGTCTCTTTGTTGGTAGCTGTGGTAGCACTATCAATAGTCTGTTGTTGTTGTTGTTGAGTTCCAAGATGCTTTGTTTGATTCGTCGACGATGACGACTTTTTTTTTGAGAGAGAGTTACTTGTTCTTTTTGATGCGGTAATCATTTTTTTTGCTTTTTGGGGTAAATACACAATCTTCTTTTATTTTTGTTCTTTTTTTCAACAAGTATTATATTGCAAGAGAGAATTTGGTTAATATTGATTGATAGTGACTAGAAATAAAGAAATATTCTGGTATATACGAAAGAATAAATGACAAAACAGGCAAGAGTTGATGTAATATGTTATGTACACGAAAAGATAATAAATGAGATAATTTTTCAAAGAAAAAAAAAACACCAACAACTGAGTTTTTTATATCCTACAAAAGGCACCGTTGACTGATTTGCTACTGGCGTGTTGAGAGCGGTGATGGCGAGCTAAAAGTTTAAACGTTCGTCTGTTGAGTTGTCTTTCTGCTGGATGAGTTTACCAGAAATGACTTATTTCTCAACTTGCTGATTGGCTTAACACAAAGAATACATCAATATGCAATGATGACTCATTCACTCCAATGAATGACTCTTTTTGATTCTAACTGGTGATACCGGCTTTTATTCCCGATCTTCATTATCTACATCGATATTATTACATATTATAGTAACAATAAAAAGAAGACTATATTTATTAATAAATATAGAACATTTATAATTTATAATTAATCTTATAATCATACTTTTGAAATCCTGGTAATTTTATTAAATTTAATAAAATAGTTAAATATGAATATACTTATAAAGAACTTTTTAAAATTTATATAATAAATAAATACAAAGAAGATTTCTTATATTTTTTCAGATTTTTTGAATTTTTTTTAAAGTTATTCTAATTAGATATAAAATATAAAAACTTTTATCAATTAGTAATAACTCTCTCAAAAAATATATATTAATTATAGATGTTAAAATTTTAATATATTTCAATTTTTAAATTTTATCAATTTAATATAAAGATAAAATTTTATTAATAATTTTGTTTTTATATAAAATTACTAGCAAAATTTGTCTTTTTATTAAGTAAATAAATTCTGAAAATTAAAATTATTGATTAATTAAGACTTTTATATTATAAAAAAAAATATAATTAGCAAAATTAAAATCTTAATCTAAAAAGAAAGTTTTATATTTTATTAATAAATTGATCTTAATTATATATTATAACTATTTATTATTTTACTTATTAAAATACTTGTTTAATTATTATAATTTCTAAAATAAGTTTTTTTATTCTAATGCAAAAAGTAATATATTTATAGAAATTAATATAATTTCTCTTATTATTTTTATTTAAGCTATTTTATTTCTTATAAAAAATATATAATAAATTATTTATATATATAAAATAAATAATTATTATATATAGATTAATTTTTATTTTTATATTAAAAATAATATTAAATATTAGTTAAATATATTAATATTTTATTAATTTAAATAATATTTAATATAATATATAATAATTCTTATAATTATAAAATTAAAATATTAATTTTATTATTTAATAAATATAATAAAAATTAAAATTTTCTCTTTATATTTATAATTTTATTAAGAAATAATTTTTATTTTTCTATTTAAAATAAAATTTATAAATTATAATTTAATATATATTTTATAGATTTTTAAGTTTTAATTAAAAATAAAATTAAACTAAAAAAATTTTTTTGTAATAATTTTATAATTAGAATAACTCTTTTAAAAAAATCTAAAAAAATATATATAATTAAATCTTTTTATATATTATAAACTATATTTGTGTAGATAGACTTTATCAAGAATATAACTTATAATAACTAAATTATTTATAAAGATAAAAAGAATTATAATTATTCTAAAGATTTTCTAGTATTAATATTTATGAGTATATAAGTATTATATTAATACAAGATAAAAATAAAAATAAATAATAAAAAGTATAATTATAAAAATATAAGAAAGGAGAAGATATCTATAATTAAAATAATAAAATTATAAATTATAGATCTAGTATATTTACTAAATTTTCTAACAGTATTTTTTCAATTATTAAATAAATAAAGAATATATATCAAAAATAATTAAAAGTTTTTATATATAGAAAAGCTTGCAAAATTTTATAAATCAAAATAAATAATATTTAATTTATTTTAAGTAAAGAATATTTATTATCTATATTTTTAGACAAGAAAAATATATAATAATTAGATATAATCTATTATTATAGAAGAGATAATTAAAAATAGAATTATTAAAGTAAAAAAAAATAAGGATAATTATAAGATAAGTATAATTCAAGTATTATTAAATATAAAAGAATTATTATTATTCAAATATATTTAAGAGCAAAGATATTTATATATCTTTGAAGTTATACAAATTTTATTTGAACTTTACTTATAACTTATTTGTAATTATAGTATATATTTACAAATATAAAGTAAGAATTAAGTAATAAATTATAAATTAATAAATAAAATTAAAGAATAAAATACATTTATAAATTAAAAGATAATATAAATAATGAAATAAATCAAATAATAAATAGTAAAATAAGATAAATATTTTATAAAGAAAAAATAATTAATAATAAATAAAGAAAAAAAAATTTATTTTAGATTTATATCTGAATTATTTCTAAAATATAATTAAATTATTTTTGAATTATAGCTAACTTTAAGTAGTTTATATATTTATAATTCTAAAATATTACTAATATAAAGTTAAATCATAACTAAAATATAATTAAACTTAATTAATATACTAATTAAATTATTTTAAATTATATATTTCTAAAAATCAATTGATTAATTAAAAATTTAGTTTCTAAAAATTATGAAATTAAAAAAATTTATATTATTATAATAATAATAATTATATCTTTTTATAATTATATTTTTTTTAAATTATTCTTTTTAAATTTTTTAATTATTTAATTAATTATAATTAAAAAATTTTTTATAACTATTTAATTTTATTTTTTTAAATATAATAATTATAAAAAGATTTAATTATATTAAATTATAATTTATAAAACTTATTTTTTATAAAATAAGAATTTTTTAATAAAATTATAATATATAAAAAATTATATTTTTCTTTTTTAATAATTTTAATAAAATATTTTATAATTATATATAAAATTATTTTATATTTATTTTAATTTTTATAATATTTTATTAATAAAAATTAATTTTTTAATTTTATAATTATAAGAATTATTATAATAATGATCAAAAGTAATGACTCAAAGGCTAAATTTATTAATAAAATATAGCGAAAATTAAAATTTTCTCTTTATATTAAAATTTATAATTTTATTAAGAAATAATTTTTATTTTTATATTAAAATAAAGTTTATTAGTTGTAGTTTAACATATATATTTTTTAGATTTTTCTGAAGAATTGCTCTAATTATAAAGTTAATGCAAAAATTTTTATTAATTAAAAATGAAATTTAATTAATAAAAATTTTTATACTAACTTTATAATTAGAATAACTCTTTCAGAAAAAATTTAAAAAATCCGAAAAAAATATATGTTAAACTACAACTAATAGACTTTATTTTAATATAAAAATAAAAAATTATTTCTTATTAAAATTATAAATTTTAATATAGAGAAAATTTTAATTTTCACTATGTTTTATTAGTAAATTTAACCTCTAAGTCATTACTTTTGATCGCCACTGTATAGCTGAAAAAAAACAGACTAGTAATGATCAATTTTTTATTTCAGACAAGTTTTAATTTTGTTATTACGACTTAATAATAAGAATTGATATAACGGATTTTTTTCTTTTTATCTAGTAAGTTAATTAGTCGAACTAATTGATATATCGGACCAAACAGTGTGAACGGAGTGGTCCGTTATATCGAGGTTGACTGTGTACTTGGCAGATCTCCCACATCCGATCCACTGGGTAACACCATATTCATTTCTTTGCGTCGGTGTTTCAATATTGCTATCTAATCAGCGATTGGTTGGGGGAAATCATTACATGAAGGAGCTCGCGAACTAATTTTTACGCGTCAAAAAAATAAATACTAAAACATGTCAAATGTAAAAAGTAAAGAAAAAATTATGCATTTATCTGAGTATGAAATAAGAAGATTAGAGAATATTGCGTCGAACCAAAAGATGCTTATAGATTTAGGCCTTGATAAGCCTCCGCCGGTTGTCTTCGCTGTTTCCTCGACAGTTAATAATAAAAGTCAGAAACGTAAACCGTCAGCCGTTACAGCTCAACCGCGGTGTGTTGTACGCAAGACTGCGGCTAATGAGCGTCTTGGTTTGAGAAGATCGCAAAGAATTTCGAGTATGGTGAGTTAAAAAATATAATGTGAAAACGTCCACTTTTGTTATTTAGGTGTTAAAAGCTAGCAGAAAAATCAATAAAACGTAGTTTTGAAAAATATTTCCATGAGCGCCATTTGTTGCATATCTCAATTTGCTACAGCGATAATAAATTAATGAATTTTATCTTGCCACTTAATAAATTATACAGTCTAATCCAAAATTTTTAAGAGAGCTAAAAGACGAAGAGGATTACTTCGATGATGATGAGTCAACATACAAAAGAAAAATTGATCCTAAAGATCGTAATCCACAAATTTTTGGTCACATCCCAGGTATCGAAGTCGGTACCACATGGGAAATGAGAATACACTGTAGCCAAGACGGTGTTCATGCGCCCACAGTTGCTGGAATCAGCGGTAATCAACAAGAAGGTGCGTACAGTATTGCGTTATCTGGGGGTTATGAAGATGACGTCGATTGGGGCGAGGGTTTCACGTACACAGGAAGTGGTGGTCGTGATTTGAAAGGAACTCGGTCAAATCCGAAAAATCTACGAACAGCCAAACAATCTAAAGATCAGACGTTGGAAGGTAAAAATCTTGCACTTAAAGTTTCTTGCGACACTGGAAGACCTGTTAGAGTTATTCGTGGGTACAAGTTAAATTCGCCATATGCTCCTGTATCCGGGTATCGCTACGATGGCTTGTATCGTGTGGACAAGTGCTGGCAGGATAGAGGATTGAGCGGATTTCAGGTTATTAAGTTTGCGTTTGTGAGATTGCCGGGGCAACCTCCTATTGAGGCCCGAATTAATTATGATATCGAGGAACGTGATCCTGTTCCAGATGATGATGAGATGGAGGAAAGCGATAATAAAGATTAATCATATTAGTTACATAATCATTTCATAGGTATTTTTTGCATCATTTATTTTTAATTTATCGTTGTTTTATGTAAAACACGATGATTTGTAAATAGCGATACTATAAATTTTTCATAATAAAAAACGCATTTTAGAGTTTCTTCATTGTCCGTTTTTCAATGTACACATCTATTTTTACTCGAAGAGTGGAGATAAATTCCGTTATCTATCTAATTACCGATCT